CCATTGCTCTGCAAATGCTTGTGTCCGCAAATTTCGGGGCTGTTATCCGCTGTGGTGACATCGAATTTATTCCGAAAGCTGCGCAAGATACTTGTGGAGCGAAAGTCTCTACAAGTGACTTTACAACAAATATACGGTTATCTGGAGGCGATCCAGGCACTGTATTGGCTTTTGAGTACTGTGTATGGACAGTAAGCTAATGCTGCGGTTGCGGTCATGGATGTTGCCAACACGTTTGCTACGTTCGCCGCTTTAAGCGGCGAAGTTTCAGGCATCTTTAAGATAATGCTCCGCTAACTGCCGAGGAAGTGAAGACCGTTGGAGTTTTTATTAGAAGTGGAGGGGTTGAGGATTGGTAATGGTGTGAGTCAGAGTACTTACCTGTCTTCTATACATTAGGATGATGGGGAAACTGCTAAGTGGTTTAAGCGCCGAGCTCAGAGAATCTGAGTCGGCGGACAAAACCTGTTGTGTGTTTGCTTAGGCGGACGACCTGGTTCTTTTCTCCGAGAGTTGGATACATTTGTACATGAGGTCGAAGGTCTGGATATAGGAATGAAAGCAAACTGTGTTACTGAACATGTTAAAAGTCGCGCTTTGTTCATTGGGAAGCTACGATGGAAGACAGTGACAATACTTGAGCAGCGGGAGTACCACATATGGGGCGTGACAATTCAAGTTGGGTGTTTTAAGGAGGAAATGCAGTACTTAGGCCTACCATATACCTCGAATAATATGTCTTGATTTAACAGTACTTGATCATTAGGTTGTGTGATTTCCGAGATTCGCAATGCTCCATTGAGGCTCCACCCTCTCTCGCAAATCCGGGGTGACTGCGTTGACTAAGTTACAATACCTGCTAATTCTGGAAAATGCTCATGGCAATTTCCTTAAGTGACTTGATTGAATAACGTGAAATGAGATCCATAAATGTTTACTATTGCAAAAACATACTTTGTTGGCTCTCTTATATTTAATTTCATGAATATGGCGGAGGAGAATTACTGAATCTTAAAAGCCCAATACTCTGGCTTTGGTAAAGACTGCCTAATTTCATGTGGTTAAAGTTTACAGAATCCGGACCTTTACTCCAGGATGAAATTTTTGCAATTACCCATCGGCATACATTGTCCGAAAGATTGGAACAATGGCTCAGAATTTGGCCTAAAGTGTGGACATGACGTGCGTACACATGAGAGAATTATTAGACGTTGTTTTGAAAATTTCATGCAGCCATTTTCCTTCAGAAATTTCAAGAGAGCACGAACGAACAGCATTTATGCGTGATAACCTGAATTCAGATTATTTCGTGTCTTCTCATTCAGCCGCTCTAGACAAATCGTGGAAAGAGTAAAGGAATGTAATTGAAAGAGGGGTCAGTAGGAACATCAAGCAAACACTGAGCAAACCAAGTTCATTGCCGTCGTCTTACCAGGGCAAGGCAAGACTGGCCACAAAATCTACCTGTTTACAAAGGTTTGGTTTCATTCGTCGGATGGCCGAGGCTTCAAGAAACGAAGCAAGTTCGCGTCCTTTTGTCTGCTGATAACCTCGAATACGTCACGCGGGTTTTCGCACAAGGTACAATCGAACAGATGCTGAGCGATGGAGCTGGCAGGGAGTTTAGGTTCACTATTTCCAGGTTCCGTGGAACATGCGAAATTGAACATCATAATTAAGCATGCGGACTCTGAAACAACTAGACATATGGCCGGGCTATACTTATTTGTGCCACCTGCAGGTCACTCTGTCCAATGTTGTCGACTGCACGAAAACAATAGTTTCTCACCGCTAGCAGCCTCCTCAATATAGTTGCCAAACCTAAAATGAACTTTGGAAATAATGGCGTCTGAAATCTCTTAGATTTTTATGTGATATCTTGATGATGCGTCGGAAAATCAGAGAATGTTTCATCCACGGCACTATGAGCACTTCCGTCTTCACCAATGAGTACTGGATCACCATACTTCACTTTGCAGGGGCTGTCCACAACTTGGTACATATTCATGCTATTGCAACAAAAACCTTTCCGTCAGTCTCTGCTTGTGTATTGACTTGTCATAATATACAGTTTGGTAGAGTTACAGGGCTGCACCATCTAGTTGGTACTGGTACCAGACCCGTACACACACCACGATAATTCAGATATTGCGGCGAGATCTGCTACAATTACTTTTTGGTGGTGTTGAATATACAAGGGACCTGCGACTTGATGCGGATGCGATTAGGTTTCTAAACTTACTAACTAACTCCACTTAGGTACTGTCGCCCGAATGGTCATTCGAAAACACCCAGATGGCATCTCTATTAGGTTCTGTTACCATGTCGTGGCACGTGACCTTAAGAAACAAGTTAATAGCTTCCTACTGATTCTCTGCATGATACACCGTCATAAGCTTTTGTGACATGATCACCATTCCCGTAAAAAATCTAAAGTATTAGTTCAGCAAACAGTAGAAATTTTCTTTTCACTAGATTCATCAGAAATAATTTGTTTTCTAGTTTGAATCAAATTCGCGTACCCATATGGAAGAAGTGCGGCATGGATACAATAAACAATTACACATTCACGTTGGACGGTCTAGTGAGGATGCCATGACGTCCAGAGCAATATAGGTAATGCTATAGGACTAAGTAATTAGTTAAACGCCAGTTGTGTCTAAGTGAGAGGTAACATATCCGAAATCAATGTATAACTTGCTTCTTGCCATCAAACGAGCATAATTCATTGAAGAAGTCCTCTGGATGTTTTCGATGGTCACCGCATCGAAAATAATTGCATGGTGTTTGTTGTCCATTCAGGTGGTCTGTCACACCTGCGTTGGAAATCAATTTGCTTTTCGTGAAAGAAATTCTTTATGTATTCAGAGCATATCTGAAGTCAATTCAAGTCTGTAAACGTTTTATGTACCCAAATACGTGCATTTTTAACAATCCACGTTTAACTCCAAATTTACTAAATAGATGCCATTAAAAATGCTAAGTTTACAAATGGGTAGATAAAGGAGGATGCGCCGTCATAGATCAAACAAGCAACAAGAAAGCACGGTGTGCATTCAGAGTTAATTCAATTTGAAGAATTTGGAATAACAATATGGTGCAGAGTAATGGCTTGACACACATTATACTAAAATAAATTAGCACATTGGTCCACGTAAAGCTTGTAATTTTATTAGCTACGAACTTTTAAGGCACTTGGGAAAAGTTGGATACGTATAATGTTGCATTTCTTAATTCATCTCAGAAAACAGTTAAGCTCCAATCGCCAAAGAGAAGAGCAAAGTTTACAAGGTTACAGTTTGATCCGCTTCTCCGACGAACAACCTACAAATTTTCCAGAATGAGATATATCTATGAAACCACTAGTGCAGTGCTTGTATGTGGAAAGCTGCTGTGGTTGCGCAACCATATTTTCAACAGTGCTAACAACCTAATAATTTTAGATATACTACTGAATACTGAATACTGTATTATAGAGCAAGTAGAAATGGATTCTGTACAAATCTTTCGAAGTATGGCGAAAAACGTTATAAAATTGTCAACCGTGATAATCATTGTCGTTCTCATGTAATATTTGAAATATTCGACTTACGATATTTCAGGATTCACAAATGTGATATGTCATCGTAAGTGTGCAGTCGTTCTCTGAAGCGAATAGAGGCAAAATACAAATCTAACAAAGTTTTGAACTGCTGCACTGATGTTGCCTCAATCACATGTTCGGGCAAACTGTTCCAAATGTTTACCACTCTCCTTTCGAAGCACAGTGGGTGGGGAACACATTTCATGTCCGGCACGACAAGTTTGTATCTGTGTCCGCGTGTGCTGCATGGTCCTCGTAAGTGCAGTATTGGCCTTAGCTTGGGGAACTCACCAACATGTAGAATTCGGTAGGTCATAATGAGGTCGACTCGCACCCGACGGTAGGACAAAGTGTAGAGCCCTAGTTTCTCGCACCGGTCTTCATACCCAAAGCCACGTAAACTAGGGATGCGCCTGGTAGCAACGTGTTGGACCCGTTCGATCATTTGTGCCTCGCCTCGGGTAATCGGAAAGTAGGCGGGCGAACCGTACTCTAGCATTGGTCTAATGATAGAAGAGAACAGGCGAGTGGCAACCTCTTCATACCATGTGCCGAAGCTACGTTTGAGCGCCCAAAGCATGCGCAGTCCGTTACGATATAACATTTTCGTGTTGTCCACGGGACTTCAACTCGTAGCGTGAGAGAACCCCTAGGTCCTTCACAGAGGTTGTGGGATATAGCGTTTGGCCGTCAAGGGTGTAGGTTCCGCCGTCAGCACCCTTCCCCAGGCTCATAAATACGGACTTGGCTGGGTTGACCGGAAGAAGAACTTCGGCAGACCATGTGGATAAGCGGTTGAGATTTGCTGAAGTAGGCCACAGTCGTCGGGAGCGTCGATTACTCTCCAAATCTTCATGTCGTCCGCAAACAAGGCACACGGCGACCGTAGACGCTGCGGTAGATCATTTATGTGGATCAGGAACAGAGTGGGCCCCAACACTGTGCCTTGAGGCACGCCAGTTTTAGAGGGGTACCAGTCAGTCAGATGGCCGTCGACCTGTACTCTCCACATTCGTCCAACAAGAAATACGCGGATCCACCGGTGCAGAGAGCCACCGACGCCACGAATACTGAGTTTGTGAAGGAGAACCTCATGTCTGACCTTGTCGAACGCTTTACTGAATTCGATGAATATCACGTCGACGGACTTCCCCGTGTTTACTTCCTTCAACCACTCACGCCTCGACACAAGCAGGTTCGTAATGCATGAGCGACCTTGCATAAAACCGTGCTGTGCAGGCGTCAGGACCTCGTTTGACTGTAGCAATTGCAGCAATCTCTTCTTCACGATTTTCTCAGCAACCTTTGCCAATATAATTGTCAGACAAATTGGCCTGTAATTGTCTACTTTGCTAGGGTCGGCGCCTTTCGGAATAGCCTTCACAACCGACCAGTTCCAGTCAACCGGCAACAAACCTTAGGAGAGCGACCAGTTGGAAAGGTCAGTCACTATAGGAGAGAGGATGGTTGAAAGTGACTTGAGAACCAGTGGGTGAAGCACATCAGGTCCGGCAGGTTTGGTGCCGTCAAGTTTGGCGAGTAGTTGGGCTACCTCTTCGACGCCACCATGCAGACTATCGAGTTCGGTAAAAGCGGTACACGTCGAACTCAGAACAGACACCTGGCTATTCGCAAATACAGAAGCGAAGTGCGCCGCCAACGTGGCCGCAGGCTCAGAGCTGGAGGTTAGGAGCTGTCCATCCGTGCCATCCAGCACTGGCACATCACCCGCCGGCTTCAGGCGTCGCTTCACGTATACAAAGATTCTCTTAGGGGCGGTCTTCGCGGCTAATGCGAGCTGCTCTTCAAAGTGTCGGCGTTGATTATTTTTGCACCGTTGCAGAGATTCCGCTGACATTTATACCCTTCGTAATCATTGGCAGAGCCAGATAGAAGGAATTTCTCCCACAGTCTGCGCCGCCTCCGAGCCACGTTTCCATACTCCTTATCAACCCAATGAGGCTTAATCGGTCCAACCTTTTGACATTTCAGTGGCACAAATTTGAACACAATGATGGTAATCTCTCTTTTATAAATATCCAACAATCTTCCACAGATGCAGTTTGTGACAGAGACCAATCCAGTTGGCTCGCGGCTCGAGCAAGACCATCGAAGTCCGTTTTCCAGTAGTTGGGAGATGGTTGCAGCGGATGTGAATACGGCAAAGATACTTCCATATCAGCTGTCAGTATTGAATGGTCGCTCGTAGCCAGGGGCTCCAGGATCCTAACGTCACGCACTCGTTGTTCGTAGCTCGTTAACATCAGGTCGAGACAGGACGAGGTTGAACGTGTTGATATGCGTGTTGGCTGGTATATGTGTTGCGATGCACCAGTTTCAAGTAAAAAATCCACGAACTTTACTGCAACCTCACTATGCCCAAGCATCAAATGCACATCAGGCCATCGTATTCGAGGACAGTTAAAATCGCCCATAAGCAGAAAGTGTGGACGACTCATGTGGGCTTGCAGATGGGGCAGCCAATCCAAACAACGACTCAGGGGACTGCGATAAACTGCGCCCACAAGCAGTTCTCCGCGCCTGAGGCGGATGGAGCACCACAGTAGCTCACACAGGCCATCGTCACTTCGGTAGGTGCTCACAAGTCTCCCACGCAGGGAAGACCGGATGTAAAGTAAGACACCACCGTGGGCATTCTTTAGTCTATCGCATCGGAAACACGAGTAACCGTTGAGTTCAAGATCTTGGGTGTATAACTCTGCGAGCAGCCATGTCTCTTCGAGTTCCACTACGTCTGGCCGCTCAGACGCAATGAAATAACAAAGCCCATCGCGCTTATTCATAATACTGCAAACGTTTGTGAAGGCTACTCGCAGGCGGCAGCAGGAGCCGCCGGGCTTGCTTGAAGTGTGAGCAGCCTGTTTATCCTGATTCGCGGATTGTTGGAAACCACCCGAAAATTTACGATACGAAGATTTGTTTCTCCCTTACCAGTGCGTCTTTTCAACTCATTGATGGCAGACTTGAACCGCTCCCTGTCTACTGGGTCCAGGTCGGGACGAACATGGATCTTCAAACCTTTCAGCCTACTTAGGCAAGACATGATCAGTCTTGGACTGGCTTCGTCCACAAAAGTGATTCTCATAGGCCGATGTTGTTGATCACCTTGCTTTCCAAGACGGGTAATCTGTCTTACTTTTACCGAGTCCTCACCAGCGTCGAGGAGTCTATCAATTAAACCCTGTAAAATCTCGACATCGTGATCGTAGCGCACTTGAGGTGATGGATCACTGGACTCCGGTGCGTGAAGGATCACGAGATTATAACGCCTCTGGTAGGACGAGGTTGGCCTTGCAGGGCGAAGTATACTACCAGCCTCACGTGGTTTGGCTAACTGTTGACTTACAGAACGTAAACACCCAACGTTCCTTCGTACTTTCGTCCTCTGTTCTTTCCACTGGTCTTCAGCACTCAGACTTTCACCTGCTGGGACATCAGTGTACGTTGGACACAACAAAGGTAAACAATTTAGCCCAGGTGCAACTGGGCCTCTCACAAAAATTGGACTTCGTGTCAGTGAGTTTGCACGGGTAGAGGAGGACGACTGAGTCGAAACCTGAAGGCTCTTCGCGCTAGGTTGTTGGGCCAAACACAGGAAGCTGTTCGCAACGAAACTCTGAGGCCTACACGTCGGCTTTACTCTTTCTGGCTGTATCTTATTTCGGCAATTTTCACATACAGTTTGGATGAAATCGTGTTGGATCTCGCGAAGACGATGAAAATGCTCAACTGATAATCCAACACATGAAATGTGGTATTTAACTTGGCACAAAACACACGTGAGGGCATTTGCACGGTATCCGACTAGTTTGGAGCAAGTACCACAGGATGACTGCTTCGGCATTGTGAATAATCCGAAAACAAGATAGCGGCAAATGACGAAGAAAATGGCGATAGCAAAATCGCCGAAACCAAGCGATGAAAACACAAGTATTACTGGTCGGAAAATTCAGAATCGGAAATGAGACTGAATTGTAGCTCAATTTCCTCGAAATACTTCCAATAAACGCAGAAAGTTAACACAAAGTGATCTTGTCAACACAGCCAAAAATAACCGACCGGAGGACGCTATATATATATATATATGTCAGAAAGTGAGTAGTTGTGCCCATATTTGTCACAAGTCTAACATGAGAGGTATCTTCAAGGACAAACTAATTTTATGTTAATGATTGTGTATGTTTATGTAGGTATGTGTATCATATGTTTGTGTTTTAATCAACAGTAGGCGGCACGTTTTAGGTTGAGTGTATTGCAGAAATTTGGTGTCAGATATATTATGCAAATTTATGATGCTACATTCACATTAGATGTTATCTAGGCCTCGATTAAAGAAGTTATTATATTTCAACGAACAAAGTTATTCAATTATATCCATATAACGGTAGCTTCCAAACATACTGCAAAATGATTACACAATCCAAATCCACCAAATATCAGATTTCAGTAAGCAGATTAACTGATTAGGAAGAAGTCAAACATCAAATTCACCTTTCATTTTGGTTTAACCAGGGTAGTAATTTACGATGGTCCTACGTGAAACCGTGCTGCAATCTTAATTTGGGTAAACCGCAATAGGTAATATCTTGAATCAGATTGTACAGCAGCATCAAGTCATGTTTTGGTTGTCGCAGCCAAAGTAGATAAAGATGCAGATGCTGGCGCCGCTTCATGCATTTCTTGTTAGAAAGTTGACCTTATATATGTTTGTTAGAAGACCGCTGTACGCCTTCAGTCGCTGTTCGTTTAGTTTATAACAGGTTGCCGCAGATCATGCTGCAATTTTCCAGAGGGGGATTATTGTGGATATAAAAATGTTCGGCTCTAGCTGAAATTGCATTATTTATGTGATATATTTGCTACATTTATCTGGCTCTCAACATCTATTACTGAATCTGTTCGGAAACGTTAAATGCATAAGAATATTTGTTTCCAAAGGAAGATAGATTAAGTATTCCATTTATCTGGAAATTGCCGTGATAACAATGAAATGGTTAACCATTTCAAAAGAAGCAATCACCCAACAGGCGCTACCAGTTTTACAGCGAACGAGGGATGCCATCAGCTTCCAGAATGGATTACCGCTGAATAGATTTAAGTTCTCGGTGGTTATTGTGAAGAAAGATAACAATTCCTAATAGTGCATTAAATAGGTTTACAACAATGTGTGTGTTTATATTATAGTCTGCAGTTACATGGAAGTGGCAAAGAACAAGCTAGATGCTTCGTAGATCATGACTGGAACGTGATATGTTTGGCCATATTGGACGACCGGTGTATTGATCGAAGATGTTACATTTTTGCTTCTACGATGGAGGTATTTCACTGGTTCTTTTACTGTATATTTCATTGCTAGAACTGTTCGCTCTTGATGTGTTCTCCGCATATATTGGGTGTTTTATTTCAGCGATGTATCTTATATCCTTCAGATGGCTGTAAAATCCCATGTCATTTACAAGCAGGATAAGTTTTCTTCTTAGTCGACAAACTGAACTTTCGGCCGCGTCTATTCCAACGTGACTGATACGCTTTTCTTTTGGGGAAACAGGCTTACGGCTTACTGAAACTGGTTATTTATGTGCTCCAATGATGCTCACGCACTTTTGTTGAGAAAAAACGCATGCCAATCACAAGTCAACTTAGTTGACGGAATTCTTTTCAGTTAGTCATGTGGATGGTTTAGTAGTCAAAAGCCAAAGCTTTGCTTTTGCTATTAATACGTTGATGTTTTCTGTTAACGCCGGCTCCTATAGGGCCTTCTTTAGCACTGGATGAGCTGCTCTTGTAGTTTCTTTAGCTAATGAGTTATTACTTTGAGTTCAGATTGTTACTTTGTTAGCGGGCTCTCGATAACCATATTTCCTCATTCCTTATAGTTTATTTCGGCTGGTGTGTTCAATGAATTCTAATAAACTGGCTCACCGGTATTAGGAATTTAGGTGTCTACTTTGCCAGTAATCGTACTAATTACTAATTCATTACCAGCTCACAGGATCTATAAATCCTAACGATGTATCGGGATCACATTCCATGTAAAGATGTGCTTATTCACAGTATTAGCAGATATACACTTTGTTCTTTTTCTTAAAACTAATCGTACTACAGTACCGTCCTTTTTAAATAGCACTCTTTCTCCGGAATAAATAACTTCTAAAATTATGTCTCTCTATTGTAATCAAAGTAATTTTGAATATGGGCAAAACCGACTAATCAAGTGTTCAAGGACAGCTAATGAGTGGAAATATCCGGTATACGGCTGGTCATGGTGAAGACTGATTACAAGTCATTTTTAACCAATCTAATAGGTCCGTCGCTGATTCTTATATATTTGCAATTTCCCACAATTCGGGTAATAGAAAGTATATTGGAGGCATAACAAATGAAAATGTGCACTGAAAAAACTACAATTAACTAGTTATTTGTAACTCACGCGCAGCAATTACATAACATATCGACAATTATATCACGTTGTCAAAGCAAAGCGTATAACCGTAAATTAGGCTTTTCGTAAGCCAAGTCCTTATTAATTTAAGTGCATAACATTTAAGTATGCACATGTAGTGGACGTCCCACACCTGGAATTCTAATTTATTCGATCTCTTCAACCACCGCATTCCTCACAACCTTCCAATCGATGGAATGGTTGACATTGTGTTAGGTTCACTAAGAAAAGTTAGCTGAGTGTGTGCTCGCAGATCCAATTCCGAAGCAATTAAAATTCCGTGTGTTGTGCCCCATGTATAGATAATGGGAACAGGTCTGCTCTTGGTATGTTTCAACGACATCGCTAGAATGTCCCAATCAAAATTAGTACATTTTGCAGACGAGGTAAATATC